TTATAATTAAGATAATAAAATCAAACTTAATTCGAAGTTCATCTCCGGACCACGACAACCCCACAATCTCGGCGTCAAAGAACACCAACTCGCAGACCCCCCACCCTCTTCGATGGGTTTCCCCACACCGTTTTCTTCCTTCACTTTCATCTTTCAGCCACTCCCCCTCCCCGGGGGGGGGGGGGGCCACCACCCCTTCACCTCCACCTCCGCCTCCTCCTCCTCCTCCTCCTCCTCCCCTCCCCCCATCCTTCCCCCACCTCTCTCTTCCTCCCCTTCCCTTCTTCCTTGCTTCTCCTCCCTCCTCGCTTTGCTCACTTGCTCTCGCAGCTCACGCGAGGGGCTTCTCTTCTGGAGGCACAAGCTGCCGAGCGACTTGACAAGGAGCCTTCCGGCATGAGGACGGAGAGAGCACCGGGAAGTAGCGAATGCAATGCGGGGAGGAGGAGGAGGAGGAGGAGGAGGAGGAGGCTACTGTGATGATGATGAGATGATGTATTGTTATGGACTGAGAGAGGATATGTACGAAAGTTGAAAGTGAAGGAAGAAAACAGCGTGAGGAAACTAATCGATGAGGATGGGAGCTTGAGAGATGCTGGACTTGACGACTGTCCTGCACTCGCTGGGGGAAGGAGGGAGGAAAGTCTTTGGGCTTCCAATCTTGTGACGCACTGCTGAGAGAAGTCAGATTCATGGAAGGAATGAGAGAGGAGGAGCAAGAGCAGAAGCAGAGGTGATAGGAGGAGGAGGCACAGGAGGAGGAGAAATAGGGAGGAGGAGGAGGAGGAGGAGAAAAAGGAGGACGAGGAGGAGGAGGAGGAGGAGGAGGAGGAGAGTACTTCTTGCAAGAACTTCGATGCGATCCAGGATCCAGATGAGCTTGCCAGCGACAGGGTTCACCTGCGAGCAGATGAGAACATCTAAGGAATCACGAGGAAGAGATGGAGGAGGAGGGAGGAGGAGAGGGAGGGAGGAGATGCGGACCTTGTGCGAGGAGATCTCAAGGATGTCCAAGGGAGCCACTCCTCCTCTCTCCTTCACTCGCTGAGACTCGTCGGTGCTCACGATGGCGGCATGCGAGTGAAGCCCGTCCGACAGCTGCACCTTGATCTTCCCAGCTGCTCCCGCCTCCTCCACCTCCAGCACCTGCAGCACCCCGAAGGACGACAGGACGCGCGATCCCTGACCAGCGGAGAGGTTGGCCTCGTAGATCTTGGAGATGAAGTCTTGACTCAGAGCCGGAGTCCTAGGAGGAGAGACGGAGAAGCTGTGGGGGGAGTTCACCGTCTTGATCCTCTTGGACTTAGAGGAGTCGCGAGTTTCGAAGGCATCGTCCTCGTCCTCTCCTGCCTCTTTCCTCTTCGAGCTCATCCGATCATCGCCGCCTGACTCTCGTTCTTGCCTGCTGCTCGACGACATCTGAACCCCGAAGAAGGGACTTGTGATCAGGTCGTCCTGTCCAACGATCTGTTCTTGCATCCACTCCTCTTCCTCCTCCTCCTCCTCCTCCACTCCCGCATCATCCTGGGGAGGTTTCAGGTTGTGCTCGACTACAAACTCTGAAATCGCTTGACAGAAGTCGTCGCCATGTTTGCTGCATCGCGCAACAAGCCTACGGACATGGCAAGTCAGGTTGAGAACGAGAAAGAAGCAAGAAAAAGCAGCGAGGATGATCAAATGAATGAGGGTGATGGGATGAAAGTAAGAGCAGGAGGAGAAGAGGGAGCAGGAGCAGGAGAAACCTTAACGGGAGGCGGAGGAGGACGAAGGAGGAGGATGACAAGGAGTACGTAGGAGGGGAATCACGATGAAGAGGATGAAGTTTTTTCGATGAGGCTCACCCAATTCCAGGGTTGGGCTGAGCCTTCAACACGCGCAGCAGGACAGCCTTACGACAAGGCAGCATCTTCGCCATGAATCGCAGCTGGGCCTTGGTGAAGATCTGATCTTGCCTCGTGCAGTCTTTGTTGTTCCTTTTCTCCTTGTCGTAGACTTCCTGTCTCACCGTCATCAGCCGGTTGAACAGGATGTCTTGCAGTGCAGCGCTGATGCAATCTGAATCCTTGCTCTTGCTCATGGGGTCCGGCCTCTCCGTCCTGAAGACGCTGGGGGAGTCCTGGGGCATGTCGACCAAGTCGTCGTCGCTGTCCTCGATCGCTTCCGGCTTCGTGGCGCTCTGCTTGCGCTTCCTGGTCCTCTCCTTGGGTGCCTTGGGCGTCTTCTCCGGCCTCCCAGCGAACTCCATGTCGAAAGTCTTCTGTCCTGACATGAGGGAATGGCAATTGGGCCCCAGCACCACGTGGGTGGTGGTTCCTCCGAACTGAGGGTTCACAAACGTCTTCTCCTCCAGCACCTGGCAGCGCACGAGCTCACGGTACATCCTCTCAGTGTCCGACGTGCTGAAGTTCTTTCCGCGGCCGAACCCGGGCACGTCGACAAAGCGCTTCGCTGCCTGAGGGAAACGGAAAGATCAGGAGGAGGAAGTAAGGAGGAGCAACATGTTACCTTCTCTGCGGACCCTCGGAAAATCTTGGTGAGCGCACTAATGGGTTTGTCACCCCCTACGACCTGGACGATCTCGACGAAGGCTCGAGCGAGGTCTGAGACGTCCCTCTTTTCCCCGTTGCCCGAGCGGCCACTCCAGCAGTTGTCGCAGGTCTTGCCGCACTTGTCAGGGCCGAAGTTCTCCCCGAAGTAATGGAGTTGGAGTTGTCGACGGCAAGTGAACTGAGTCTCGCAGTACTCCACCATCTTGTTGAGATTGTTCCGCACGTTCTCCCTCTGCAGGCGCGCTTCCTCGAGGTGGGGCCCGAAGAGCGTTGCCGACTTCTTGTCGAAATCGTCTTGTGCCATCTTATCGTGCACGAGCTTGTCGCTGTATGAATAATATAGAATACAATGAGAAATCTTCCCGTCTCGGCCGGCTCGACCCGATTCCTTCCCATCCACTCAGACGAACCAGTAGCGTCGGACGAGCTTACCTGATAATAGCCTTCCATGGACTTGGGCAAACTTTCATGGATGACAAACCTCACTGTGAGACAAGTGAGGATGGAAGATCATGGGCTAGTGAAAGAAAGAAGAAGAGGTGGAAGAACGAAGGAGATTACCGTCAGGCTTGTTGATTCCCATACCGAAAGCTATAGTCGCAACGATGACGTGTGTTTTGTCATTGCTCCACTGATCTTGATTGAATTTTCTGGTCTGATCATCGAGCCCAGCATGGTACGGTAATGCCTTGATTTTAAACTCCTGCATCTTTGCTGCCATTTCTTCGCACCTGTTCTTCGACAAGCAGTAAATGATCCCTGTCTCTCCCGGGTAGTTCTCTTTAATGAAAGTGGCGATGTTTTCAGCACTCTTCTTCTTCTCTTTCTTTCGCACCTCGTACCGTAAGTTGGGGCGGTTAAAACTTTGCATGAAGGTGTAGGCTTCATTGATCTGCAGGATGTTTCGAATGTCTCGCCTGACTCGGGGAGTTGCAGTGGCTGTCAGAGCCATGATCTGCACTCCCGGCAACTTCGACTTCAACGCTCCGAGCATCTTGTAGTCTGGCCTGAAGTCATGACCCCACTCGCTGACACAGTGTGCCTCGTCAATGATAATGCGGGAGAGCTTTCCATTCTGAAACGATCTCTGCATTTCGTTCTGAAGCCTGTGAAGAGCTCATCAGACGTGAACGACTTCTTCTTCGTTTCATACCTCTGACTGTGGGCAAACTTTTCCGGGGTGATGTAAATCAGCTGGCAATTGATCCCCTCCTTGACTCCTCGTAGGCAAGAGTACATCTCTTCAAGCTCTGACATGGGAGTATTCGCTGATATACAATAGGCTCCAATCTTCGTTATGAGTGTAAGATCAGGAATGTTATCACAGGTTGCTTCGTCTCACCCGAAGCAAATTGAGATTGTACACTTGATCGTGCATAAGTGAGACGAGAGGAGAAATGACGATAGTGACGCCTGGGGACATCAATGCGGGCAGTTGATAGCACAATGACTTGCCACCACCTTGAAGAAGACGTCAGGTTGTTCGAAACAATCAGGCGCAATACCTGTTGGCATTAAGACAAAACAATCGTGACCACTGAGTATGGTATTGATGATCTCCTCCTGATGCTTTCTGAATGATGGATTCCGGAACACATGCTTGTTGATCTTGCGAAGTTTTTCTGTCCAATCGAACTTTTGCGATTTTCCGAAGAGATCCACTCGATTTAAATGTTGTTGATCATTCTCGAATGCATATCCTCCTTTCTGTTCAGGCAACTTCAATGGAGAGCTCTGCGGATAAGCACTAGAGAAAGGTTGATTTGATGCTTGTTCACTAAAGTTGTCCACCATTGTTGCCCTGCTAGAATAGTAGGGAGCAGTATCTGATTCGTAAGAGCTCGAGAACCTCTGAACGGGAGTCTGGAAAGAATCTTGCGCTGCTGTTGTGAATGAGCCAGTCGAAGAAAATTCAGATCTCGACCCTGTTGACGAAGAGTAGATTGGCTGGCTATGACCCTGATACGAGTGATTTGAACTCATATTGCTTGAAGGAAAATTGTCAGAACGATTCCGTGGTTGTATGGGCTCTTCTGGCCTACTACGAATTTCTGTACAGTAATCTACATCCTCTTCGGCTTGAAGGGCACTAATCTGTCTTTCTATCAATTCTTTCTGTCTCTGTAGCTCCAGCAGATGCTGTCGTTTCCTTTCTTCGGACGAGGGCTGAAAATTATGTTTGTCTGCCGGGGTATTATTACCACCGAAAGAGGCCCTGGGATTGTACGATGGGGAGTCAGCATTAATGCGATCTTGTCTGAAAGAAGGGAACTCTCTATTTTGAGGCAAGTCAAGTTGACTTGTTCTGAGTGGTGAGACGTGATCGGAGTTATGCGGTCGCCCGGAGCTTGAGGGTTTGTCATTGCTCGCATACTCCTGGCTCAGCGAGCCTTGTTTGTGCTGCGCGACAATCTCATCTAGATCAAGATTTGCGAGCAGCTCATCTTCATCTTCAGCTGGCAGCTCAACACACTTCATGCTCTGATTGCGACTGGCATTGCCTGAAGGAGTTGGCTTATAGTCGTTTCTTGTTTGAATCTCTTCAAAGCGCCTCCTTTCTTCCGCAATAACCGACTCTTTGCCAAAAAGGACCTGTAAGAGACAGAAGAGTGTCGTTTCAGCTCTTATACTGATAAGGACGCAAGAAAAAATCACACTTGTTTGTACCTGCTTGATTGCGGATGGTTGAACTCGTTGGGGAGCTGACCAAACACAGTCTGTCTTCGATTGACCTTCTTTCTTTCATCTCATCGAAGCGATAGTTTTTCAATGCTTCCAACTCCTACTTCACGGTCAGAAATGTCTTTCAGCAAGTTTCATAACAACCATATGGCTCATTGGCATTCGAGGTTTGCTTTCAAACTTCATATCAGCGACATACTTCTCCACCCCCTCTATGGATTCTATCGCTGTTTGAATCACGTACACTGACGGTCGAGAACTATGAAAAGGATGAAGTCAGGAGACATGCACACAAAGATATGCGTATACACACTTATTTCGAGAGCCCTCCAATCGTGATAGACTGTAACTGAACCCATCGAACACCTTTGTGGTGTTCGCTTCGATCCAGCGGACATGTTCTTCAAGATTATTTCTCATTGCTGAGCTAGATAAAAGTTTGATTCGATTTTTGTGCGATTAGCTCACTTATGACTGTTGTAAGGACTTGCAGTCACAAGAGCCGGCCAGCAAATTTTCACTTGATTGACATGGTGCAATTCATCGCGTGCAGCTTACCAGAGTATTCTTGCTCTTGAAGCACTTCCTCTCTATCTACTACAATATCTTCTTCCTGCCTGCTACGCCATGACCTCCTGAGTTCTTCGCCGTGGTCTGCATTCTCACGACACACCACGCTTGACTGCCATGGCGCCACAGCAGCAAGCAAGAGGGGCCAGCAGTTCAATGCTAGGGTACGGTAGTATAAATTATGGGGTAGTACAAATTGCTCTGAATATTTCGAGTGATTTATTTGCTATTATTACTTATAAATTCAAATACTTTTGACAAATTTCAACAAGTTTTCATAAAATTGAACATACGTGAAATATTGGGGGTAGGGGTATCGAAGGGGTAGGGTAATCATCGGAAGGGTGGGAGGTAGGAGATGAACTGAGATGCTGCTGAGATGAACTCATACAGCACCTATCTGAAAGGCCCGGTGGCGGTAGTGTCGGGTGCTCACCCTCAGCGGGGGGATGAGGGCGAGATACAGAGTGGTTGGAAGGGGCGATGGCGGGAGAAAGATAAGGGAAGCAGGCATGGCGAGTGTGCATATCCTTGGTCACATCTATGGCGCGGTAAGTGAGACGATGTTGAGGTCCATGGCTCCATCCCTCGTCGGGCCATGTCCTCTCACCTGTTGTGTCGAAGGATGCTCCCTCTCACTCGTTGCAACAGAGAGGAGTTGGGTCGATTTGGACCAATTATCTGCTGAGAGCGGTAGGAGAAATGATTGCATGATGGCTCGAAACAGACCACTGACCTGATGAATCTGTTGTGTAGGGTGGAGGACAGGCTCTGTGGTGCCGATGGGAGATCGTGGTTGAGGACAACCTTCGATGGACCAAAGAGCATGGAACGATCTATGAAGATGGAGAGATGTTGAGAGACCAACATGGAAACGCGGTAGCTCTGGAAGACCATTTTGTCCGACATGCCCTTTTGCATGCTGATTCTTGTCAGGCTCTGAGCGAAGTCGGACAAACACAATGCTGTGAGTGCTCCCCTGGGGGACTGGCTGTCTGGTCCCATCCTGTCGACGTGAAGTACCGAACGACATCTCTGACGGGTATGAATACTCCGCAAGCTCCTGCCTCATCGTAGAGGTTACATGAGAATATCTGAAACTCGTTGCTGCCAGGATGGCCATCGATGCTCTTCGAGGTATGGTCACAGGTAGATCTGTTCTTACATGGTTTCAGCTGGTTAAGGTTGCATGGTGACGAACAGGACGGCGGAGGAAGGAACGAGATAGTGGGATATGCTGTATGCCACATACCTGCAGCTCCTGGATTCCACGAGATAGAGGTCCGATACTGGCTCTTGTTTCCACTGCACAGGCTCGGGGTGATATGTACTCAGGTTCCTATCTGGAGACCCTTGGCGAGTCAAGGAGAGCGGGGCTGGTGGAGGCGGATGTAAAAGAACTGGCTGCCAGAATGCCTCTCATATCTACTTCAGGAGCAAATCGTTGAGCGGGTGGTTCCTGGGGATCTGGCCACGTCTCAACGACGATGGTTCCTCTGCGACGCGTACCTTCACGACGGCAGCGAAGAATGTACTGTACAATCCTATCAACTTCACAAAGGTTTTGCTCTCGATCGTCAACTTAGTTCTTTCATGTGACGAGCGGGGCTGGCAGGAGCGGTCGGCAATCGAAACCGTAGGGACAGGCAGCCTGATGGTCAAGCTTTCTGTCATCACCAGAGGGTTCGACAAGTACGGTCCTGGGACCAACCTCGCTGTGGAGGAAGCTTGGAGAAAGCAGCAGGGAGAGTTGTAGAACGGCGTGGAACAGTATCGGAGCCGCAAGTTTCAAGTTTCGAAAGTTCACTGAGCCTCACGTCGCGTCACGGCGTGATGGTGACTCCGAGGGAGCTGATCGGACCACGGAGTCGGATTTCTGAGTCGGGCAGCCTGAGGATCCTCAGGCTAAGTCCGTGGTTCAAGTATTAAAAATGTTTCTTATGATCACCGTCAAGTCTGCGATTGGAAAATGACTCGCCGTTTGGCCAGTGCGACAGTGTCAGGGTCAAGCCTCCTCGACTATCCTGATTGTCCTCGTACTGATTTTTCACTTAACTTTGAGGAAAATGACTCTAAACCTCTTCATCATCACCATCATGATCTCATGCATACATACATTCAATACTTGTTCAAAGGAATGATTGAACAATAACACATAGCAACAATCAATGAGTATATGCATGGAAAAGACGCAGAAGCCGATACAACTGGCAAAGCGTCCATAACGCCACCATCAGTGCGCCACACGTGACACTTAGAAATTTTTTCAAGTTTTTGAATTAAGGAATTAAGTAAATCTTTACTCAAAAACCTAAGATATACCTATGTTCCAGGAGCTTCCTCCTATAGATAATTGTGAGTCCTCGTACTTCTAGTACTGATTTTTAATTTAACTCTGAGAATCCCTTCTACGGGGGCCCACTGTTCTGAATTGCAAGTGAACGGGCTGCGGCAGTGCCATTGATTGGGCCCGGCCCGGCCCGGGGGGGGGGCGGCGGGGGGGCCGCCCGGTACCAGTCACTGGCCCGGGTTAGTACTCGTACGCGGCACGTTCACTGGCATGTAACTTTACTCAAAGTTAAGTTAAAAATCAGTACGAGGTATCTAGTACATCGGCCCGACCGGTCATGACGGTCTGTGATGCTTTTACTCAAAGTTAAGTTAAAGATCAGTACGAGTGATGCCTGTGATGCGTTGAGACACAACTGAGAAAAAAAACACTAAAAATGCTAAAAATGAAGAGGCGAGTGACGACACTGTCAAGCATGACCCTGAGGGGGTGGCCTTTATTTCATAGTCGGAGACATAGTAAATATTGCATGTAGGGTACCTCTCCTTGAGATCTAAGCCTTGACTTCTTACTACACCTCACTCCGAAAGCTTCGTCACTTTTAACACCTATACCTCTGATTGGGTACCCCCTCTTATCCCTGATTGTACCCCTACCTTGCAGTGCTATCCTGACCTCCAATGGTACCCCTACCCTCTCCATGAAGAATGCAATCTCGAGACCCTTCTTGGCCTATGGATCTGATAACCCCTACCCCTCCAATTAAACCTTTTGGCAGCTATAAACCACCCGTACTCATTGAATCTTTTCTGGACCCCCACCTCCCTGTAAACTCAAAGAACGCACATCCCCTCGTCTGAAAACCTCTCCGCGCCATGTGCTGCCGTTTCGCTTAGGTCTTTGCGCACTCGTTGCTCTCCCACTTGTTCTCGTCCCCTCCTCCTCTCCTCCCTCCTCCTCTCGCTTCAAGCTTCCACTCACTCCCCTCCTCCTTCTCACCCATTCACGCTTCGAGCCAGGATCCGCCCGGGTGCTGGCCAGTCCCTACACCGCTAGATAGCCCTTTTACAGGATAGACTTATCTTCGTATTGGAAAGCTGCGTGAACGTTGGTTGAGCGAACCAAGAGCACTGGTCGTCAGAAGACGAACAGATACGCAGATCAGAACAAGCAGACGATTCAAATCATCTGCTTCTATATTGACAGGCACAAGTGTGGTAAACAAGATGCTTGGCCCGAAGGTAGCCCGCGTCTTCCTCCGCAAGCGGAGAGATGAGACGGGTGAAGGTCAGCAACCCTCCCAGCGAGAGGTTCTCATCACCAACGAGACCATCGAGTCTCTCCTCCACCTCCGTCAGACCGACGCCGCCAACCAGCTCGGCATCTCCCTCACGGCCCTCAAGAACGCCTGCAAGTACCTTGGCTTCGACAACTGGCCGACGGCGAGGAGCAACCTCGTAGCAACTCAGCCAACAGCCTCAGTTGCACTCCCGTCCGTCACCTCGCCGGCTCCGGCTCAGACTCGGAACCCTCGGAATCGGTTGGTAGCCGAAGGAGAGGCCGGGCGATCAGGGTTAGTGGGAAGCAGGAAGGCAGGACGGGGAGAGAAGAGGCAGAGGCTCGCAGAGAGTATCCCAGCATTGAAAAGCCACGGGCTTGAGGAGCTGATGCTTGACGCGCTGGAGCATGTGGCAGATCTATGAGGGGTGGGGCTTGGCCCTCAGGTGATCAAACGTGCTGCAGTGCAGTTACTGTTGGTTGTTTTGCTGTCAAAAACAATACCTCCTTCAGGTTTGACTGACCTGCGGAGGGAGCTTGTTGGCGGTCTGGTGGAAATCGGCCATGTGTACTATAGAGTTCGTTCCTAGTGCTTACATCGTGATTTGATGTTTTCAAATAGAACGCTGTTTGTGACTTTGACTGTGATTTCTCGCAGTTTTTCCAGTAGATAAATCTATTTCACACGCTTGCCTCCACCCCTTTCGTCGTGCCATTCAAAACAACATTGCAGCTTTCTATGGTCGCATACCTTTGACATTGAATCGAGAGAATTGAATCGAGCAAATTATGGACGCCATGTGTGTCCCTGATCCTAAGTTTCCTCTTTTTTCTGCAACAGAGAATCTGTCAAAGTAACCTCTTCAAATTCTACGAAGGCGAATCTGTGAACAGTTATGAGCTGGTGGACGGGAGCAAGGGAAGGGAGGAGAGAAGAGGGGGAGTGTATAGGAAGGGGGTAGAAGCAAACGACAAGACTTTTATGTTCACTTGCACTTGTCCACTCAATTTCGCTCTCAAGACAGTAGCTCAAAGTTTCTTGAAGAACTCCTGCATCAAGGTTTCAGTCTCAAGACAGCAGCACAAGGATCCTGCTCCTACCGGCCTGTTGCTCTTACTTGGGAACTGCTTGCTGTCATCCCCCTACAAAATAGTCAGTGCCTCCCAGCTCCTCTTCTCCTACAAACCGCCAGCGGGAGGACGGAACGGGCAAGGGTGATCCATCCGTTGGGTCCTGAGAGGAACCCTGGGCCCCCGAGTCAGCTACCTGCCCGCCCTCCTCCTCCTCCTCCTCCTCCTCCTCTCCTCCTCCTCCTCCTCCTCCTCCTCCTCCTCTCTCCTCCTCCTCCTCCTCTCCTCCTCCTTCTCCTCTCCTCCTCCTCCTCCTCCTCCTCCTCCCCCTCACCCTTGAGTGCGAGCGAGCCCCGAACTCTCCATGACGTGTTTTCCCACACGCCGAGGCCAAAGATCTGGAGAGGAGGGTCAGCAGCTCCAGGGCACCCGGCAGGTCCTACCAGCCTCTCGTAGGGCTCCACCAGCCTGTGGGACAAGAAGCCTCCCCACTTGAGCAGCACAGCTTCAGTGAGGAATCGGAGAGCAGAAGGTGGAAGGGACGGGAGAGTGAAGGGGTGAGTGGAGGAAAGGAGAGTGAGGAAGAGGATGAGGATGAAGGGGGATGGGCGAAGAGGAGAGACACAAGGGGGAGGACGGGAGGGAGGGAGAGAAGAGAAGAGAGCAACTAGCAGGAAAGAAGATATGCAAGAAAAGATTGCCAAGGAAAAGATCTTGTGCAACCGCGGCCAGGCACGGGAGGGTGAGGAGGGAAGGGGCGGATGAGGGGACACCTGCTGGAAGGGAAGCACGAAGAAGGCTCCAAAGAACTCTCTCAGCTCCCCAAGGCCTGCCCAGCAGGATGAGCAAGCAAGAGCAGCCCCCTCCTCCCTCCTTCACCTATCGACTCAAGGTATTCCCCCCCGAAGTTAGCAAAGTCGCGCTGCCTCCTCGTCTTGTCGGTCCACAGCTGCTCCCACACGTGATGCGCCGCCGCCTCGGCATCCTGCAGCTCCGGTCAGGCCCTGCCCGTCCCATTCCTTCCCACAGAGCCTCTTCCCCCTGTCTCCGTGCTACCTTCCTCCATCTCCCTCTCCCTCTCTTCTCTTCTCTTCTCTTCCCCCTTCTTGCCGCTTTCTCCCACTGTTCTATTCGCTCTCCTCCCTTTGCTCTACCTCCTTCCTCTCATCTACACCGCTCCCTTCTCTCACACACCTCAGGGTTCTTCTTGAGAGCCTCCTCGATGGACTTGGCAGTGTCGGACGCCAACGTCAACGTCCTTGACAGCATGTACCTATTCCCATCATCAATTCCTCTCCTCGTCCTCTCCCCCTGGGGGGACTTCGCAAGGGCCAACCCTGTGGCAGGATGCACCAGACCGGCAGAACCTCCGAAACCAACAACTCTTTGCGGGGAAACGGGCCTGTCAGAACGTGTCAAGGTCAACAGACGCGTCTCAGTGTCGTACATGGCTCCTCCCATTGGGATGTAGCAGAACTCCTCCTCGTGGACCTTGACAACTTTGGTCCCCCAGAGGTCAAGACGCCTGCAGGCCAGCGTTAGCAGGAAGAGGGGAGGGAGGGAGGGAGGGAGGGAGGGTGAGGAGGAGGAGGAGAGCGGCTCACTTGTACAATCTCCTCTTCAGGTCGTCGAAGGGCACAGCGGGGTTGGCGATGAGAGAAGTTTCTGCGCTCGGGACGTCAACTTCCACCAAAGTCTCCGCTCCCCTTCACCTTCAAAGAACACCCTCCCAGCATTCGTCGGCATGACATAGATGAAGGTCGGAACAGCCTCGGACTCCTGCCAGGCCTCTCACTCCCTCTCGCGTGCCCCCTCGCCTCCCACACTCACGGCCAACTCCCCTGAGGAGCTCTGCATGTGGACATCACGATAATCCATGAGCAGCATCTCATCTAGCGGGAAGGGATACGTCCCCGGCTCGATGTCGCACTCGATCCCGTACGCCGCCTGCACCCCTGGCTCGCGTCCCTGCTCGTACTCGACAAACGCCTTCGAGTGTCCCGTGCAGTCAACAACCAGCCGGGTCTTGAGCTCACTGCCGTCGTCCAGCTTCACCGAGGTCATGCTCTTCTCGTGCAACAGCGACTTCACCGCCACCTTCTCCATCCTTACCCCGTACTTGCTGCACCTGGACAGGAAGTGCTCCTTGATCTTCTTGCGGTCAATCCTCCCGTAAGGACGGTTCAGCACGATCTTCTCGTCCCCTGAGCTTCCTCCCATGAAGACTGTCGCCGTCGGCCAGATCGTCATGAGGCATTCCTTCAGGCCCAGCGGCTCAACTTCATCAACCCACACTCCATAGTTGGGGATCCACCCGACGTCTAGGTTGGGATCGACGCAGGAAACCTTCATGCCCTTCATCCCCAGCTCTGCCGTCAGCGCCAACCCTGCAGGCCCTGAGCCCACGACCACGACATCCATAACTTGCTCGTTGCTGCTCATCCTCAAACCACCCAGTCGCGGTCCCCTGCTGACAACGGAGCCGGTGGAGGCCGAGCATACCTTGCCCTGCTGGCGGTTGAGAGAAGGGAGGATGCCTCCTCTGAGAAGAAAGGGACATGCGGCGGGCATCAGAGCCAACGACAGAAGAACTTGCTTGATCATCGTGCGGTTCTAGGACGGGAGAGGATCTTTGCTCAGAGTAACGTTAGGCGAGAGATCGAGTAAGAGCGGCAAGAGGAAGAGGCAGAGGAAGGAGAGGAGAAGGGATGAAGGGGAGGGGGAGGGAGGGAGAGCGGGAACGGAGGAGGGAGGGAGGAGGGGGAGATCGCCTCCACTTGCGCGACCCCCTTTACATGTCAAGTCCTAAAGGGGGTGGGGTGAAAATTTCGTAATACCCCCTATTTTTATATGAAAATGATCCATAATTTGTGTGGTAGGGTACTTGTTTGTGGGTGGTGGGGTAAAGGGGGTAGTAGGAACGGCATCGTATCATGTCAGACTGCAAATCTATTTGTGCAGACAAGACATGGTGGAAGGAGGAGAAGTTATGATGATAACAAGTTAGGAAAGAATCTCAAGAAGGAGGTTGAAGGGTAAGGAGGAGGAGGAGGAGGAGGAGGAGGAACGGGAGCAAGAGAAGATTGAATAACAGACAAGAAGGAGGAGGACGGGAAGGAGTTTGAAGAAGGAAGAAAGGGAAAAGGGATCTCAAGATGAAAACCGAATGTGCATCAACTATTAAGTCGAGATGAATATAAACGAAGAAGATGAGTTCACGAGCAAGCAGACTCCCCGTGAGAACAAGGTTGAGAACTGGAAACCTTCTGATGAAGAACTGTCTTCAACGTTCGAAAATGGATGGATGTCGTTGTAGAGAAAAGGATGTCATGGAATCTATCTTGAGAGGAAAGAATACATTGAGAGGAGAACATCTCACACTAGTGTCATGCTTATCCTCGAAATTTCCCAACTCGGCAGATCAGCTCCTAGCGATGGCTCGAACTCGTCACTGGCGGAGGCATGCGGGCGACCTGCAAAAACTCTCCATCCCCGCAGAAAGTTTCGACACAGCTGGAACTGACGTCTCCTTCGAACGATGGACTCGCCAACGCAAAGGCTGTTGCGTCTGCGGAGAAGGTTGATCCAGCTTCGGCACACCTGGTGGAGAAGCAACCGCCTCCTAGAGAATGCAGACATTCTCAAAACTTTGTCGTAGAACGAGTCTTGCAGATGTTTCCCCTTGGATATCAAGTCCAGATGTTGCAAGTCGTTGTGCTCCCGTTGCGATTCCAACGCGCTCTGCACTTTCTTGCCTCTCTCCTCCGTTGCCGTCAAACACATCTGAGATGGCCGTCAGCAAACCAAGACCTCTAGAGTGTTCCAAGATCAACTGATGAACCTGTAACTTCTCGATGTCTTGCTGGGTAGCTGTGGTTTCCTTGACGATAAGATCCAACACATCCGAAGTTTGAGTGCAAAGATCCCACATCTCACTGTGGATGCTCTCACTCTCTTTGTTGATCCTGCTTATCTGATGGGAGGCGTGTTTCCTAGCTGAGTTCCATTCATCCAGCAAAGTTGTCATCTGTTCAATCCTTCGCATGTTCGCTGATGCATCGTTCCTTGGCGTGCTCTTTGTACTGTTCGACATGTCGGCGTAGAGCGTTGATGCGATGATTTATGGGAACTGCTTCTTTCTCCGTCGTCCTTCGCTCCCGTCAAGAGAGCCCGTCTGCAAGAGCTACATCAGCATGCAAGTGACATCTGTCTATCCCGTATAAACTCACTCTCGATCTGAAGTCTGGCATCACGACATGCTCGCAGGGAGTTTGTTGGGAGGATGCAACAATAATCATTATGCAGGGCGGCAGATTAAGACAACATCAGGATGGAGAGAGGGGCGCTGGTTGCGAGAATTACAAGAGGTGACAAATTGGACTCTGTGAAGAGAAACGGGAGGAATAGGTGAGGGGAGGTGCTGCTGGGTTGACAACGGAAGAAATTTTTGAATTCCATCGCATCGGGAGTGAAAGCATCTGCCGGGCCAGAGGAGAGGAAGGCTATGATGACTTCATGCTACATGCTGCGACTTGACTGAGTGACTCATCTTCCCTCTCGCACTTGGCAGAGCCCGGGCCACATCAAGGTCTCCTCACCATGTTTGTGCAGTTGCATATCCCCTGATCGGCGCTGTTTACTCAAAGTTAAGTTAAAAATCAGTACGAGGACGCTAGTGAGGGACTGATTTAACCGGGATCGGATAGGTCCGGAGGCTTAAACCTGGGCCCCGGCGGCGGGGCGGGCCGGGCCCGGGGGACCGAGTCAGTCCGAGCCTCAGTCACGCTCCTACCGGGCCGGGCGGCCCCCGGGCCCGGGCGGGGCGGTGGCGGGAGTCTCGACTCGAAGCCAAAGCACTGACGGTCGCGCCGGGCGGCCGGGCCGCCGCCTGATCGGATGAGGAGTCCGGCCCGGGCTGTACACGGGCCGTCCGTGACGGTAGTCACTCAGCGGCTCGTGGTACTGGGCCTCAGTACAGTTGTTTACTCAAAGTTAAGTTAAAAATCAGTACGAGTACGGTACTAGACCGAGTCATGGCCGGAACTTTTACTTTATAGTTGTCGTATTTTGATGTACGGAAGTGGTGGGTGATCTTGCAGTAATTGAGGGGGGTAGGGGTTGTTTTTTGGGATCAGTATTGAGAAGGTGCAATAATAGTATCTTTGTACCATGGTGGGTAGTATCACCCCACCACATATCTTTCCGCAAACAAGCAGATATGAACGGGGTACTATTCTAAAGAGGTGGGGTGATTCGGGTGAGGGTGGTGTTTGGTTTGTGGAGATGCAGCTTTTGGTGCAGTGGTGGACGAGCGGACAGAAGGAGGAGAAGGAGGAGGAGGAGGAGGAGAAGGAGGAGGAGGAGGAGAGAGGTTACGATGATGAAGAGAAGGAGAGACGGGAGAAGCGTCGTAAGGAGCAAGATCACGGATGAACTTTCTAGGAACAGAACTAAGAGACGGTGATTGACTCCAGATCTGTAAATGCTAAAAGCTCATCATATGTGAGAGCATATGCCGTCCAGATGACAACCAGAAATGAAAATTTCAGCTGAATTCTTGAACTTCCATGAAAGGATAGATTGGTGGCCATTCATTTATCTTTTCATAAACCCTGGCCATTCAGATACCCATTTTTGATGACTGTGTTTTGAAAATGGTTGAAACTTCTTTACTTTATTCTCTGATGAACTGTATTGTAGAGGGAGCAGCTCAATCTTACTTGTCCATACCTTTCTTGTAAACTTTTATTTCAATCCAGCCGCACTGAAGCGAGAAGATGATGGAGTTCGAGAGAATAAAGGAAGAACAAGCCAAGGAATCTACGGAGGGATATGATGGACCAAGCAACCAAACTGAGCATCATGAAAAGAGCTGCCGGTACATAAAGATCGTCATTATTTGTTGTATTGATCTGAACATGCACAGAATTTGCTTCGAAGCAGATTGCGATTCATCGAACCAGCTAGTGTCGCCATGCAAATGCAAGGGGACTCAGCGATATGTGCATACCAAATGTCTTAGGAGATGGCAACGAACTGCACTCGCGCAGCCAAACTCCAAACGAGCGATGATCTGCTCTGTTTGCAATTCTTTCTATTCAATGCCACCCCCTGGTACTTTCTTCATTCTGGTTACTCGGTGCTGAAAGATGTGATAAGTTTTAAGCCCAAGCTTGGAAGAAAGTTCATTTGTTGGAGGAATTTTACCTTCATGGTTGTCGGCGCTCAGTAGAAACATTTTCATCGCATCGGTCAAACCAAATTAGATTATGAGCCTTTTAATTTCATTCTTTACAGGTGATTGCTACTCTACTACAGAATAGCAGGAATATCCCCTCACTCTTCCATCTACTGACTTTGTTAGTTGCATTCGCTTTCGCCTCAAGGTATTTCCTGCATTAGCTTGGCTTGCCTAACATGACTCCCGTAGGATCTCGTTTCTGGGGATGGCAGACGGGGATCCTATTGAGAGCTTGCAAGCAGGTGTCGCCGCACGATCCGGCTCCGCATGGCGCAAACTGAAGTTCTACCAGGGAAGCTGCTAGTGGCGAATGGAATCCCAGCGGGAAGCCTTTTCTATCGCTCCGTTGTGTTGCTACTTGAGCATGGACCTCGTGGATCACTTGTAAAGAATCTCAATGTTGAACCCACAAAAGTTTTTCTCATCCAGATGTCCCTGGCAGGGTGTCATAATCAACAACAACCAAGAGGTCGGTGGGCCCGTGCACACGTTTCACCCAATACTTGTATCCGACTTTCAGCAAGGGAGTGACAGCTACGACATTGCCGGGATCAATGTACTTTTCCAATTTCTCCATTGCCTGTCATGACAGGGTTCCAGGGCCTCTACTGGAAGCGCCTTAGCTCTTCGAACGATGTTTTAGATTTAGCACGGTCCAGTGGGAGCACGCAACGGCTGAGGGTGAAAATCGATATGAGATTCTGCTGCGGAGATGAGAAGTACGCAGGTATTTCGTGGGGTGTCAGGATGGGCTCCACGACAGCTTGATGGAGAAATTCGTCGCGGAGGTTGGAAGATAGCAGGTGCCCGAACAGCAAAGTTTGGAATTCGCATGAGTCTTACATTCCATTTCTAGATGTCAGTCTTGATCAAATTTTTGATACAACCGGCCGAACCAATCTGTGGGAGACGCTGGATGCATCTCCAGATACCATGTTGAAGTTCTCTTCCTCACGAGATAGGTCTGACTGACTTGGGTAGGGGTCTCGCTCAAATCTTGTCTACGGAATTGAGTCACTAGGACACGGTTCAGAGTCATTTCGTACCCTGTAAGGAGAGCAGCTCGGTGTATTCCACCATCGAACATCACAACTCAGCGCACTGTGATCGACTAAGACTTGGCAATGATTGGACTCGACAACCGCTCTTCAGTATACAATCAACGTTTGTGTTTCCTTCCAGATTCCCCCAATAGAAACAAAATCGTGTAAAGGAAGCTTTGCTTTGTGCGTGCTGAAGTTTCAAAAATCGCAGGATGGCAGTGCATAGAGTGTCGGCTGTAAATGAATACTGGTTTGTGCCGATGCTGCGTGTTTGATTTCTCTTTTATGTATCGAGGCAAACAGCATCATCGCCAAGCTTTTGTGTTAGGATAGACTCCCACCCTCTGAACGCTGAAGTGATTCTGCACTCCCTGTTCGAACCCTTCACACTTCACACCCACTCGTCTCTGAAACCCCATGGCCTGTCGCAGAGCAGGCCCTGTCTCGGGGTTGTTCCAGTAGTTGGCGACCTCCAACGGGATCTCTCCGTCGTTGTTCCGTGCGTTGCAATCAGCTCCTGCTTCCGTCAAGATCCTGACCACAGAAGCTGTGCCGTTTGCTGCCGCCCAATGCAAGGGAGTCCGCAAGTCTTTGTTCCTCGCATTCACGTTCGCTCCCCTGGCTACCAGCACCTGAACTGCCTCCTTCCTCCCCTCTCTCGCTGCATAGTGCAGAGCAGTCTGCTTGTACTCCGCGTCAGTGTGGTCGACGGGAACTCCCGCATCCAGCAGGGCTATGATCGTCTCAGCATCTCCCGCCTTTGCAGCCTCACGAAGCGCCTGGCCCATCTCACGGTCTCGCTTCCTCTGCATGTCCTTGCGCCATTGTTCATCGAGCATCCTTTTGATCTCCTTATTCTCGTTCCTGACCTCCTGCTCCCAACGGTAGATGGCCTGATAGCCTGCCCGACCGTCGCCATGTACAAGGGGCATCGGACAAGACTGATCCAGCAACCTGCATTTCAATGTCATACGATTTGTTTGCAGAGAAATATGTTGAGTGTTCCACTCTGACGGTTGTGCTTCAGATTTGCATCTGGACTCCTTTGATCCTCGTCTCTCCTACATCTCCTCATCTGTTCCCACTGCTTGTTGTCCTCGTCCTCGTCCTCTTCCTCGTCCTCTTCCTCTTCCTCGTCCTCTTCCTCTTCCTCTTCCTCGTCCTCGTCCTCTTCCTCTTCCTCGTCCTGGTCTCAATGCATTTTCTGCGCCTTTCAACGGCAGGTAACGTGACTCAAATTTCGGTTGAGTAAAACAAAACGAAACGGAGACATGGTGCAGGTGCCATAGAGAGGAGAGGAGAGGAGAGGAGAGGAGAGGAGAGGAGAGGAAGAGGAAGAGGAAGAGGAGAGTAAACAGAAAACAGGAGGGAGGGACTGAAATTGCATTTGTGGCCCAATGTTTCTCTGGTTTGAATGCTTCGCAACTGTTCTCTTCGGCGTGTGAATCGGCACAAATCGGCATGTTGAAGTCAGAACAAGAACCAAGGATCGCTCTGACCAGCGCAGTCTTCCAGTGGCTGTGCAGCATCAAGGTCCTGGCTGGAGAGCACGGACGAGGCAATGTAGGAGGAGGCTTCCAGGTAGAAGGCGTCCATGCGCAGACCCTCTTCGATGGTCAGTTGCTCGTGCGGAGGATAGCAGAGTTTCTTCCCAACACCATCCCCCTGCCTCCAGAGGCGCCCGAAGGCTCGAGGACGAGCGAGCTGCTGCTGCGGCTGCACAGCTGGCAGGCGATCCTGTCGTACCTGGCGCGGATGACGGGGGAGGAGGTGGACGACGATGAGAAGGCGCTGATCCTTGCCAAGGACAGTGCGGTGATGAGCAACGTGCTGCATCGTCTCGCTGCGTTCCTGGAGCTGCATGTTGTGATCCCTGGCAAGAGGACGCGGGGAGGCCCAGATGTGCACGACCATAAGGCGATCCACCTGATTGCCAGAGCAAGCACAAGGCTGCTGCGGTTGGGGTACGAGGAAACCCTCAGGCTCTTCACGGCTGAGCAGGAGAGGCTGGTGTACATGATCAGAACGCACATGTCCAAGGAGGCTGACGAGGCCTCGCTGGCAGCGTTGAGCCTCTGGCTGCGGGAGATACATGCCAGTCACTTTGAGATGATGGAGGCTTGCTCGAGAGACGAGACGAGCTCCTGGCTCCTCCTCTCCGTCTTGTCCACAACGCTCAGCTCTCCTCATAGGGTGCACGTCATCGCTACTGCCCGTTGCATCTGCGACATCTTCAGCGTGGAAGGAGCTGGAGGAGGAGCGGGAGGAGCGGGAGGAGGGGCGCAGCAGTGGTCTTGGCTACTGGCCCTGTTTCCTCATTCGAATGTGTCGGGGAAGGATGGGCTATCAGTGATCCTAGCAGCGTTGAGGAGACACGGGGAGGACGAGGAGGTCAAGGACGCGCTCGCTACGCTGCTGCTGGCCATGAGCGGCGTTGAGAAACTGCCCCACGTGCTCTGCGTTGAGATCCCGATCCGAGTGAAGCCAAGGATATACTGCTTCCTCCTCGCCGCCCTTCTGCCGCGCTTTGCTGGGGAGGAGGTGGTGGTGAAGGAGCTGGAGTGGTACGGCTTCGTCCCCTTCCTCCTCAACCTCGTCTTCCGGGACCTGCACCTGTGCTCGAGCTCATCCTCGAGCCTCCTCCTCCTCCTCGAAGGCTGGAGGACCTTCTCGCAGACGATGGTGGCGAACCGGGAGTCGGTGGAGGAGCTGCTGGGGATGTTGAAGAGGAGTACATCGCCCTCGTTCGAGCCCGTGGAGCTCCGGCTCGCCTGCTTCTCCTGCTGCTGCGAGCTGACGGTTGAAATGATCCAAGACAAGTGCTCCCTTGCCAACGAGCTGTACCGCATCATCTTCCAGTCCCTCCATGAGAACTACCAGGACGCTGCGACAAGGCACAACATGCAGCGTGACGTCTGCAAGGTCGTCGCAGTGAGCCAGCACATTCCCCTCGGCCCTCTGGTCAACCCCCTCCGGTCCCTTGCCGAGCGCCATGGCTGGGAGGACGAGGACTTGAGCTACTGGAACACCCTCCTCCACCATCCCCGAGCGGAGCCCATGCACATCCTGTCGCTGCTGAGTCTGCTGGTCATGGCGATGACCTCCGGGCCCCGGGCCTCGGAGCTGTCCGGGTCGCTGCTGTCGGGCTTCTTCGAGGAGATCCGGGGGAGCAACCTGCTGAAGCATGCCGCCATGCGCTCCTTTGTCTTCGAGTCCTTCTTCGGGGTCGCCATGAAGTTTGCCGAGCTCAGGTCCAGCAGGGGGCTCAGCGGCGAGGAGGAGCAGCATGCCCGGAGGATCTTTCACTTCCTGAGGCGCTCCTGTTCCGATCGCTTCCTCTTCTCTCTCCCCCAAGACGCGGTCGTGCGGGTTGCCTCCTCCTGCCCCGGCCTCTCCCCTCAGGCAAGGGCAGAGCTGGAGAGTCTGCTGAGGACGGGGGAGGAGGCAGAGGAGGCGAACCTGCCAAGGATCCCGTCCCAGCCGGACAAAGTCACGAGCAGGCGGCAGGAGGGTGAAGGAAAGCAGCTCTCCTCTCCTTGTCCTCGTCCTCCTCCTCCTGACCGGGAGGAAAGGAAGGTGCAGTACGCTTCTCCCAAGGAGGAGGAGTTGAGCAGAGCGCCGAGAGCAGGGCGGGTGCTGGAGGCGAAACCTCCGAAGAAGGAGCCGGCAAAGATGGAGAGCGCGGTGGGAAGAGGAGAGGTGGAGAGGTTGGAAGTGAAGAGGAAGCAAGAAGAGGAGAAGGTATCAGTCAGCAAGGCTATGAAGAAGCCCCAGGTAGGAGAGGAGAAGAAGCAGGGAGTGGGGAGCACTGTCGGGAGGATCGAGGGGAGTGCAGGGGAGAGGAGGGAAGGAGACGTAGGAGGGAGGAAAGAAGCTGGTGCAGGAGGGAAGAGAGAGAAGAGCGGTGGAGAAAGGAGGGAGGTCAATGCAGGAGTGAAGAAGCCATCGAACTTTGTGGAGGGGAAAGGGATGCATGCAGTGGAGAGGAGGGAGGTGCACGCAGTGCAGAAGAGGGAGGAGGGAGGAGGGAGGCGGGAGGAAAGCAGAGGCGGGAGGAGAGTAGAGGAGAGTAGAGGAGAAAGGAGGGAAGAGAGTAGAGGAGAGAGCAAGGTTGAGAGCGCAGCAGAGAGGAGGGAGCAGAGTACGGGAGGGAGGGAGGAGAGTAGAGGCGGGAGGGAGGAAGAGAGCAGAGGAGGTAGCAGGCTAGGGGATCCTCAACCGACCCGGCCCACCCTTCTGGAGGGAACCATCCATGCCCTCCAGGTCAGAGGCTTCGTGGATGCAGTTCAAGTCTTCGTGTTCCTCGACAGGAAGAACGCGGGGAAGTTGGAGAGCGCGAGCGCAAGATCGCAGCTGAAGACGCTGAAGCTGCGAACGGAAGAGGAGGCTGATGTGATGCAGGCGGCAGGATGGGTGAGCAGGCCGAGCAGGGTGCTGGAGGCAGAGGACTGGTGGAAGGCGGTGGGTTGGAGGGCCTCGAAGACGCAGGTGCTGCTGGCGCTGTTCCACAAGTTCACGGAGGAGGGGAAGAAGTTGGAAGAGGAAGGGTTCATACAGGCAATGGTGAGCACTGGAATCGTTGAAGGAGAACGAGGAGGAGGAGGAGGAGGAGGAGGAGGAATCATCGGGCACGAGGAGGCTGGAAAAGCTTTCAAGGAAGCTGCGGGGGAGGGGGGGAAGGGGCTCTCCTTTGAGTCTTTTGCTTCCTTCGTGCAGAGGATGGTGGAGGAAGAGGAGCGGGGGAGCGAGATCGAGCGGAGGATCTTTCCACCTCCTTCCCCCCTCGAGGAGCTGCTCTCGTCAGCTACGAAGGGGAAGCAGAAGGTTGCTGCGCGGGTGAAGGCGAGGATCGCGCTAGCAGAGAGGATGGTGAAGGAGAAGCTCTTCAAGGATGTGCCGGAGGCGCTGGAGAACATCAAGCCTGGGGAGGAGCAGGAGGCGAAGAGGGCGGTGGCAGCGATGAAGCCTGCGGAGAAGGGAGGGAGGAAGCAGGGGAAGGACAAGAGGATGCGGGCGAGGAAGGAAGAGGGTAGGTTCAACGCTCCTTCCCCCTCCCCAGCAGCAGCAGAGTTCTCTCATGATCGCCAGCTCATGATCCTGGAGAGGACGGTGCTCGAGGCCTTTATCAAGTCCTCTCCTCTCGCTCTCGTCGAACCCGACGTGGACGATGTATGGTTCCTGTGCGATCCCCGCCACTTCCTCCTCCTCCCCCGCCAGCTCCTCCGTCTCGGACAGCTCGACCGAGCATGCAAGCTCGTCTGCAACCTCTACTGGCTGCAGCGCACGATGCAGGAGGCAGGCCCGTGCTGGGTGCTAGACGTGCTGCATGCTCTGTGGGAAGCCCTGCACAAGGGGCAGGGAAGGGACGCGGTGGAGGACTACCTTGACTTCGTGGAGCTGCAGTCGGAGCAGCTGACGGAGGACCCGGCGAGCGTCTTCGAGCTGGCGCTTAAGGAGCACGAGAACTCGAGGGTACAAGAGGATGCGGGGAGGGCGGTGGTGTCAGGAGAACAGGTCGTGCGCAGCGGAGCCGCGAGGGTTCAGAGGCTGCAGGGAGCGACGGTGCCGAGAATGAAGAAAGCGATCGGGTACGCGCGAGCTCAACGCTCCCTTCTCCGGCTGAAGGCTCGTGGGATCGTGCGCTGCTTCGGGACGAGGGAGCTGGAGAGGTACGAGAAGACGCTGGTGGAGGTAGGAGCGAGGCTGGATGAGGAGATTCGGGGGATCAAGGCCTTTCCCCTGGAGGAACACCTGGTAGACATCCAGGACGTGCTGGGGAGCTGGCAGCAGGACGACTTCGAGGCCTCCGTCTCGTCCTCGTCCTCCTCGTCCTCCTCACCCACCCCCGTCTCCTCCACCTCCGAGAGCTACGCCAGGGCCTTGTCCTTTTTCGACCTCATGGACGTCGTCCTTCAGGCTTACCCCCCCGGGTCGTCTCCTCCCTCCATCAACTTGGAGAAGGAGGACGAGCGAGACGTGGAGGAGGAGGTGGAGATCGTCATGAAGAGGTGGCCGCAAGTTCGCCTGTTCCTCTCCGCCTCCTCTCTAGACCTCATCCGCCATCGCCTCTTCCTCCTCCACTTCGTCTTCCCCGCTCTACGGATGCACGCAGCCAGCCATGCCGTCCAATTTGTCTGGAGCGATGCGGGGACGTGGAGAAGGAAGATCGGCGGGCAGGAGACGATGGAGGAGGCGTTCCGACGACTGAAGCTGATGAATCAGTCGAGGATCCGGGGCAGAGCCAGCGGAGGTAGAAAGAGAGGATTCAACCTGATGGTGAGAAATGGAGGTGGAGGGATCAGGAGCAGGAGCAGGAGCAGGAGCAGGAGCAGGAGGCAGGAGCAGGAATGGCAGAGTGTAGGGGGGGCGAAGGGCAGCGGGGAAGGAGGAAGAGGAGAAGGAGTAGGGGGAAGAACTTCAGCGTGTGAACGTTGTGGCAGGTGTACGGGAGGAGGTGGGGAGAGCCGACGATCCGAGAGATCGACATGTTCAACTCACAGCGACAATCGAAGGTGCAGCAGGGGACGAAGAAGGAGGAGGAGGGGAGGGAGGACAAGGACGAGAAGAGGATCGGTATCAGCGAAGCAGAAGTCTCGAACGCGCTGATGAAGAAACAACGATGCCTCCTGGCCCTGGAGGAGGACGATCCTGAGGAGGAGGAGGCTCTGGCTGCTCTCCCCGCTGAGAAGAGCAAGGCTGTGCGCAGCGTGTTGGGGGTGCAGAAGAAGAAGTCGATCACGGACCTGCTGAGGAGTGCGAGGGGCAGCAGAGCGAAGAAGCAGGAGGACGAGGACATGGAGGTCATCAAGTTCAGGAGGGCAGCTGAGCTGGTCACGAAGCTGCTCAGGGAGGATATCGAGGACGAGCGGCAGATCAGGAAGGTGGTGAAAGGATGCAAGTCCGAGGGGGAGGTGGAGAGATTTGGGATCAATGTGTTCTGCTCGCTGTGGAAGCAGATGTCAACGGTGGGAAGCAGCAAGGAGTTCCTGTCAGCCTGGGAGATCGCCAGGAGGCAGCAGCTCTCTGCCCAGCAGATCCTGTCCGGCAGACGGGCCGCAAAGTTGGAGAGCCAGCAGAGCACGATCCTTCACCTCGTCTCCCTCCTCTTCACCTCCCTTGCCTCCTCCTTCGACAGCGAAACTCCCCACATCGTCCGCGTCCGCGGCCCCCATGGCTGCGGGGTCTCGGTGCTCCTTGCCCTGTTCGCTACACAGGCACCCAACCTCATCTCCTCCTCTCCCTCTCCTCCCCCCCCCTCCTCCCTCAAGATCGTCTACCTCCGCGTCGAGCCCTGGCACACGAGAAATTTCGTGCAATGGTACCTCTGCAGCGCCATGGCGGAGATCACTTGCCACAGCTACTCCTGGCGCAAGTTCTCAGAGCACTGCCAGTCCCGCGCGTCCTCGCAGAAGATCCTCGTCCTCGTCATCGACGGGATCTCAGCTGCTGACTACGTCGACTTCTGCTCCTGCATCAGCAACGTCAGGAAGAGCAGAGTCAGGATCTTTGCGCTCATCAGCCTGGCCGAGCGCCGAGCCAGCATGCCGCATGTTGGTGGAGTGACGGACGTTTCCCTTCCCCCGCTGTCGCTGCAGGAGGCGCAGCAGCTGGCAGCGCACGTGATCCAGGACCTTTCCAAGACCTTCATGTGGAGCTATGCGATCGACAAGGCGCTGGTGACGGAGAGAATCTCCCGTATCGTCTCCTCCAGCTCCGAGCGAGCTGCCGCCATCTTCGGCAACCCGCTGTACATCGTGGGGATCAGCGTCATCATGGCGCATCAGCTGGAAGCCTCCTCGTTCCCTGGTGATCTGACGTCGCTCTGGATGGACGCCTTCTTCCCCCTCCTCGAGAAGATCTACGGGCAGCACTTCGTCTCCTCCCTCCTCCTCACCCTCCACTACGAGCCGATGGGCCTCACGCGCCATCAGTTCGGCATCGAGGAGAAGCTGCTGACGGAGGACAAGAGCGAAGGCAAGAAGGTCAAGGTCGACAACCCGAGGGACTACCTTGCCCACGGGGACGTGCTGTGCAACATAGGATACCGCTGCGAGACTGTCTACTCGTCTCTCTCCCGCCTCCTCGACGTCGTGATCAGCCCGGGGAGCTGCGGGTTCAACCTGCAGCACTACAGCATGAAGAAGGCGATAGAGATGAGGTACTACGACAGCTGGAAGAAGAGCGAGGAGGAGGCGATCAAACCGGCTCTCGTCCCGCGCGACAGCAAGAACTCCAAGACCAAGACTTCCTCGGGGGCTGCTGGGAACGGAGGGCGACGTCAGAGTCAGGTCGCCGAGAGCAGGGAGGACTCGTCCCGCCCTGTAACGGGGGAAGGCAGCGATGATTCACAGGCAGCCGAGGGAGCGGCAGAGGAGGAGAGGAAGAGCGACCAGTCTCAGGAAGGAGCCGTGCACGACCTTGATGGCGGAACTTTGCCTGACATTGCGATGAAGGGAGAGGACCAGGACCAGGACCAGGACCAGGACCAGGACCAGGACCAGGACCAGGACCAGGACCAGGACCAGGACCAGGACCAGGACCAGGATGAGCAGAAGGGGGCGGAGGAGGAGGAGGCTGCACAAGGGGTCGAGTCGAGAGAGGATGTTGCAGCAGAAGGGCAGGGCATCCAAGAGGAGGATGGAGAGCTGAACGATGGCGAGCCGGCAGAAGACACAGCGGAACTCAAGGAGCAGGAGACAGCAGAGGAAAGCGAAGAACAGGCAAGGGAGATGCCAGGAGACGCTGAGCCAACCAAGGAGGAGGAGGCAGGAGATGCTGAGCCAACCAAGGAGAAGGAGGAGGAGGCAGGAGACGCTGAGCCAACCAAGGAGAAGGAGGAGGAGGCAGGAGACGCTGAGCCAACCAAGGAGAAGGAGGAGGAGGCAGGAGACGCTGAACCAACCAAGGAGAAGGAGGAGGAGGCAGGAGATGCTGAGCCAACCAAGGAGAAGGAGGAGGCGGCAGGAGACGCTGAGCCAACCAAGGAGAAGGAGGAGGAGGCAGGAGATGCTGAGCCAACCAAGGAGGAGGCAGGAGGTGATGATCAAGAGAGAGCAACAGAGGGAGCCGAACAAGAGGTGGCGGCGGAGGGGAACGAGCCGGAGGAGAAGGAGGCAGGAGGAGATGAAGGAGCAGGGTAAGGACATAGAAAGTTTTGCATGATGAAGAATATGAAAGTAGAAAATAAATACCTTGAATGTGATCTATGAACAACTCTCGATCCCTTCTCCTCTCCTCCTCTCTTCTGCTCCAGCTCGCAGCCAATGCCTCCCGTCCCTCCTCTCCTCTCTTCTCCTCATCAAAAACCATTGGGTCTCCTCAAGAACGTTCCAGTTCACCTCAGTGAAACTCTACGGCTGCAGACAAGGAGGGAGCAAGGAGCAGGGAACCGATGGGGGCGTCAGACTCTGAGAGCGTTCAAAGACATCTCCCACTCCTCCTCAAAGGATCCTGCAGACTGTACAGAGCGCTTCTCCCGCATCAGCACCACCGTGTAGTGCTGGTGATCTCGTACACTGACAAACTCTAGCTTCACCCACGAACCTTGTTGACCTGCCTCTCGCTTCACTCCTTCACATCCCTCCCGCCTGTGTCTCACCTAGCACATGACTGCTCAGCTGCGAGAGCGACTTCCCCTGGATGTCGATGGAGTCGACCCGGACTAGCTCGTCTCCTACTCTGATCTTCTCGCACTCCGACGCTGGGCTGTCACTTGCGATCTCCCTTACCTTGATCCTTCCCCCGTGGCACTGGCAGCAGAGTCATGTTGAGGAGAAACAGGCGAGCCTCCTCTCTCACGATCTGAAAGTAGCATCCGACCCCGACGGGAACGCGCGATGGCCGACGGAGGTTCTGCCTGCGGGATAGCAGTGAGAAGGGAGTGAGGGAGGAGGTGGACGTACTGAACGATCCAGGGGTTCGGGCCGACGCGAGGAGGAGCAGAGGGCTGTTGGAACAGGTTCACAAGGAGAGCAAGTGAAGAAGAACGAGCGACCTTCTGGATGGAGGAGGTGGCAAGAGAGCTGTACAGAATGTCAGAGGTATAGACTGAGGGTGAAGTTTGAAGCTCCTTGCCTGTTGTGCTTCAAGGTTGTGGCGTCTTGGCGTCCAGGTCTCCGGGGGTCCTGGTCGCAGATTTGAAATCATTTCCGATTATTGACACGCGTGTATGTCGGAAACAAACATAGTGGAACATGGCAGAGGTACTGCAATCATGAAAGCACCCACATACATGCTCTCTTAAAACAAACTCTCTACCATCATCACTGACGAGTGTCTCGTGCTATCATTTCGGCAAGCACGCATGTCACTTGCATGCTTCAACTCACCGTCCTGGTGTCCCAGCATGTCGCGGTACTCACCCCTCCCCCCATTCCAGGATGCGCGTCCTGGTGACGATGCTACGATGTGAAATGATCCAGTGATAGCAAATGGTCCAGTGATAGCAGCAAGAAACTAGCAGTCTGTCAAGACGCGGAGGACTGGCGGTCTGATCAGGAGAAAGATGCCACAACGAAAGGAGTGGTTGGAGGAAAGGAAGACGAGACAAAACGGCGGCGAGCAGCACCAAAACTTGAGTAAGACTGCAGTGGAGGACGAGGACAGAGGGATAGATCAGCAGGAGGAGATGAGCTTCAGAAAGACTGTAAGGATGCAGATGAGGTATGAGGACGGGGAGGAGGAGGAGGAGGAGGAGGAGGAGGAGGAGGAGGAGAGAGAGACAGAAGGGAGCATAGCGAGTACAGGCTGTCACTACCGCTTCCTAACTCGGAAGGGACATTGATTATTGTTCGAACGATTAGTTACTGAGCTAGCTAGGGTAAAACAAGTCCGCGCCAGAGTTGCTTCTTCCGGTTTAGATTGGGTTTAGTTCTACTGCAATGGACGGATCGCATAGCGTCCTTGGAAGAGACTGAGAGAGAGAGAGAGGGAGGGAGGGAGAGAGAGAGACAGAGACAGAGACAGAGACAGAGACAGAGACAGACAGACAGAGAACAGGAGTCTGTCAAGAAGTTTTGGATCATCAAAATTTGACACAAAAATGATTCCTGGTTTTTTTCGCAAGATGTCAAGAGAGTTTTATTCCTTCATGTCGCTTCCTACTACACATATGTGAATGTCAGCCAGCCTGGCCTTCCGCATCGAGATCTGCATTCTTGCATTTCTCTTTCAACCGCAGCATGTGAAACCTTTCATTGCTAGCGGGAGCGTGTGGGAGGTGAGGGATCAACGCGTGTTCTACCTTGCCGCTGATTTCAAGTCAGCTCAAGTACAATGGGAGCTCTGCTTCTGCCAACGCTTTCAGCATCGCCCCAGGCATTGCTTCCAATGCTGCAGTCAAAGGAGGTAGCTGAATCGTCTCGATCGTCGTGCCACTGATCGGCACTACGACTGCAGATGAAGTCCCTGAGGGTGTGTCCCACGGCCATGTGAATATTTCTCGAGTGCTGTCAGTGAGATTGACATGGATGTTGAAAGATCAACAGTGAGGATCTGTTCAACAAGCTTCTAAGTTCCAGGGGTATGAAAGCCGGAGAGAAGCTGTCGGGAGAAGGATCAAGTCAGGTTGACGTTTGTCTTTGTTGGGGCGCTGTGTGAGGCCATTACAGAGGATGATCATGATGTGCTTCGAAAAGAGGAATGAGCACGAGTACAAGATCTTGCGAAGGTTTTCTGTGGATGTAGATCGTCGGTCACCAAGATTGATCCCAAGTAACAGAAGCAAACAACTGGGGCTGCATGCGTTGGAGCTAAAGAGGCTCAACAGAAGGGCAACCAAAAGGTTCCCTGCAGCCCTCACGCTCCCTTCCTGCTGACGGGCATGCGCAGGAAATACTTCTCTGCTGTACTAGTGGGAACAGGCCCTCTCCCTCACTTCCTTGTCTGCCCCGGAGCCGAGGTTCGTTCTCTCCTAGTCTTCCTCCCTCGCCACTGTGCTCTCCTCCCATCTCTCCTCCTGCTCCGCGTCCTGGTCCCATCTTGTCTTCTGATCTCCCCTCCTCTTGACGTCTGCTGGTTCCTTTTCATCTGCATGCTCACAAACTAGTCGCCGCTAGGAGTGCAACGACGCTCTTCCCGACTCGAACGTTCTGATCACAATGCGGGTCGATCGGTGATCTGAAGGCTGAGAGATCTTACATGCCTGATGCCCTTGAAAGATCTCCTGCTGCCAGGATGAACGATTGGGTTATGCTGGTTGTCACGAAGAAAAGAGTCGTCGAGCTTCAGATTCATGTTACAAACAGCTCCGCGCATGTTGATCCTGTTGTGAGATTGCATGTTTGCGGGCTGAACGCTGCGAAACAGGTGGAGAACTGGATCAGAAAGAGAGTCTTCGATCGGAAGTGTAGCACTGTGGGGGTTGACATGGAATGGAAGCCAGTCTTCTCAGCGGGACACTACTCCAAGGTGAGAGAAGAAGTCCATACGATAGTGCTGTGAGATGAAATTTGCTGATGCCGTGATTGAATCTTGTTTTGTTCTCACTTTGGCGATGTTGTTGGAAATGTCACGTTCTTGTGAATAGAGTCTTGTCTTGTTCGCATGTTGAAACTTCTTCTCTTTCAGGTTTCTCTGATCCAGATCTCCACAAGGGATGATTGCATCTTGTACCATATCCATCACTCGGCTGGCTCGTCAGGCCAGCAAGTTCCCCCAGCCTTGCGCCTTCTCTTCCAGGATACTTCGATAAGAAAGGTGAGGAGATGGCAGAAACAGGATCAGTCACAGTAGAGAGCCAAGCTTGAAAGGGCGGAGACAAAGAGAGGTAGAGAGGTAGAGTCAGCAGCAGGTGCACGAGCACAAACACGAGCAAGAGGAGGAAAGGGGTAGGAAAAAGAGGAGAAGGAAAGTGGAAGAGGAGGAAGAGGAGGAGGAGGCGCGATTAAAATTCCTCTGAGTGACCACGAAAATGATCTTGACGTGCCTCAGGTTGGCGTGGGTATAGACGGTGATGCAAAGAAGTTCAAACGGGCAAGCCTCCCCTCCCCATTCCTCCTCCCCATTTCTCCCCTCCTCTTCCCTCCCCTCCTCTCCCCTCCTCTCCCCTCCCCTCCCCTCATCTCAACTTCCCCCTCTTTTCCTTCCCTTCCCTTCCCCTCTCCTCACCTCATCTCTCCTGCCCTACCCAACGTCTCCACTCCTTCCCTCTCATCTGCTGCTGTAGGATTGGGGTTGCGACATCCTCGGGCGCGTTGACCTTGCTGAGTTTGCTGCTGCTCTGGGGCACATCGACTTGACGTCGCTCAAGAAGATCACTGAACATTTCCTCTCAGTCAAGATGTGCAAGGCCAAGTCTGTTGCTCCTCCTCCTCCTCCTCCTCCTCCTCCTCCTCCTCCTCCTCCTCCTCCTCCTCCTCCTCCTTTCTGCTGCTGGTGATTGAAACGCAGATGGCTGACCATGGGCAACTGGGAGAAGGAAGCGTTGAACCCTGAACAAGTTGCATACGCTTCGATGGACGTAAAAGGAGGAGGAAGCGAGAGAGAAGGAGCGAGGGACAGAAAGGGTGGAGGAGAGAAGGGAAGAGGGAAGGAGGGGAAGCAAGAGTAGCGGGAGGTTGAGTCTTCATTTGCTGACTCGCAGCAGGCGTGGGCTGCGGTGGAGGTGCTGCATGCGGTGGAGGAGGAGATCGTGTGGAGACCGTAAGTGAGAGGAAAGCGCTGCTGCTGCTCAAGTTGGCTCAGGTCTGTAGACGTTCAGTCCAGCACTTGCGAGCTGGGAAAGTTCTTCTCGGTGAGAGGCGGCAAACGCCCCGGTAAGGGGAGGGGAAGAGGGGGAGGGGGGGGGAGGGAGGAGAGTGGGAAGGAAAGGAGGAAAGGAGGCAGGCAGGCAGGCAGGCAGGCAGGGAGGGAGGAGGCAGCAAGGAGATGGGGAAGGCATAATCGGAGGAAGGGAAGGAGGGAGAAAACGGTAAAGGGGAGGAGGGGGAGCAGAGAGAGGAAGGGGAGGAGGAGGGGATGGATCAAAAGGCTGTTTGCATGACGGGAGGACAGGCGTGTACATGTCGAAGGAGGAAGCGAAGAAGCATGTGGAGGGAGGACAGATGATGAGATTCGGTCATGAGCTAGAAGCGAAACTTTTCGTGCTCACAGGAAGCAACGGGGGTTCAGTGACGGATGTTGTGGTGTATGCGATGCAGCGAGGGGAGGAGGAGAGCGCGGGACGGAGGGAGGAGACGAGTGAGAGCAAGAGGAGGACGAGAAAGAGGCCGAATGTTGGGAGGAGCTCCATGAAGGTGTAATGACATGGGAGAAAGAATAAAGGAAGAGATATAGTACAACAGAGGTGGAGGAGGCAGAAGGAGGAGGGGTCCTTGCGGAGAAAGATTGGAAAGAGCACGAGCACGAGCACGAGCACGAGCACGAGCACGAAGGGGATGGAGAAGGAAAGGAGAGGCACGAAAGGTACAGGTTCCTTCACACAGGGTAGCAGAACGGCGGGGGGACCTCCGAATTGAGAAGCAAGTACCTCTGCGACATCAGTCAGAAGAGAGACGCGTTGCTTGCTGCCAGTCTTGACCTCGTCGTTGTCAAGACTCAACAAGACCCTGACGATGTTCGCATGTCACTTGCACGAGGAGCGAACCCGCTCGCTCACCTGAGTGTGTCCTCCAGTACGTCCATGACGTTGTCTCCCTCCTCGTCGACCTCTTTCAACTTGTACCCCCTCTGCCTCCCCGTCAGCGCACGGCAGCAGCAACAGCGAGCGGACAAGGTGGAGGATGCCGGGCTGAAGGACAAGATGGAGAGCGCTGTCCTCAAGGAGCGACAGAATCTGCCCGATTTGTCAGCTGTTGGTATTGCTTGCTCCTGCTCCTAACAATGTCTTCTTGCGTACGAATCTTGACTGACATCTCTGAAAGGGTCTTTTCCGCCTGTCAAGAATCACTCCCATCATTTCCTCCTCCTCCTCCTCCTCCTCCTCCTCCTCCTCCCCCCCCCCCCACCCCCCCTTCCT